AGTATTTGTGGAACTAGTGTGAGTGATAGATATTTTGTTACCATCACCAATGATGATGTCTTCATTATCTCTATAGTTGTTAGTTGTAGATGAGGAAGACATGTTAAGAGTATTAACCATTCCGATGGATCAAACTATAAAAGAGGGGAGGTTGCTGCTTATCTCGATCTCCACTATTTGAACTTACATGACCGAGGAAGACCGTACATTCGAGAATTGGATGAGAGGTCTACTAATAGACATGCGGGTGTGAGAGAGGGCAGAGGGGCAACCACAATGATGTCTATCAGTAAAATAGCAATGATGATGGCTGGTGTTCCTTGCTAGCTTATAAGGAAGGTGGTAGGTAAAGGGGCGACCATAGTTGGCGATGTTGTGCACCCCCGAGGACGAGGAGGTCGAGAGGAGGCGACAAGCCTCTAGTTGTCTAGAAGCTACCGAGCGACCGCAATGAAGCAAAGAGGGAGTGCTCAAGTCAGAGAACGCTCGGTGGTCGATGAGGAGAAAAGGGAAGCGCTTGGGTTAGAGAGCGCTAGGTAGTGGGTGAGGAGGAAGGGGGAGCGCTCCTCCGTTCGAGCAACAATCAATGAGGAGAAAGAGAGAGGAGTAGTTCTCTAAGGACAACAGCAAATCAACAATTTTGGTGCAGGTCTATGATGAGAACCATTAGGGAAACAAGAAAACTCTACGATGGATTGAAGCTTGAGGCAAGAGGAGGAAATCGAGCAACGACGATCAACGGAGAAGAGTGATTATTATCGTCAAATAGCGAGGACGAGAATGTTTTGCTTGAGGCAAGAGGAGCTCCAATACCATGAAGAATTAAGAAATATATTATAACATATATGAATTTTATTTATTGAGATAATAAATATTTAAACAGGTTTTGAGGGAGAGATTTTCCTCAATCACTCACTCAAATCATGCAATTAGATTAGTTATTCAAATCGATCATCAAATCATAAGAAAATAAGAATATTATTTCATCTGTATTTCTATCCTAATCTTTTATTGGGGTTGAGCTTTATGGTGCACTACATGAATTACTGGTAAGAGTGAATTGGCACCCGAGAATGAGAGATTTATGGTGCACTACATGCGATAGATCTGTTGGAACATTATGATTTGTTGTTGTAGTTTATAATGGAGCAAGAGTATTAAAATTAAATAAATTAAAAAAAAGAAAAGAGATTACTCCGGGAATAAAATAATTTCTGTGAACTAAAAAGATAAAAAGGAGAATGCAAGATTAATAAGCTTCATTTCTACAGTGATTTAGATGGAATCTGACAATGACAATGACAAACCCCACTTGTAATATATATAGCCCATACCAAACTACAAAAGCCAAAAACTTCAATCACTTAGAAACATTGATCCTTCCACCTACACATCTATCTTATATTGCCTGCAATCTTTGTGCTCTAAAGACTGACTCTCATACAGCAGGTGGGGGATGCTTCTTCCTAACCATTATCATATGGTTGCATCATCAACAAACAGGCACTAGAATTCATAAACAATTGACACCTAATTGAACATGATTCGAATTTCACTAAACAGCTATGTAGCTATTTTCTGTGCAGTCATGATGACATTTTTTAGGACAATGATGAAACCATTGATACAACAGGGAGCAGACTGTGACTTGCTTATTTGCGTTGTCTAATGCCTCATGCATCAAAGATTGTGAGTGAGATATACTGACTTAAACAAACTGCATCAGTTGCACTAATCATGAACTAGCATCCAAATGACATGATTAGCCATAACATTTATCAAATCTTCGTACAGTAAGGCAAAAATTACACCAACCAGCAAGCACATCATTGTAGCATAATTAACTAACAAGAACCTTTTTTTAAATCCTAAAGTAAGTCAATAGCTTTGTTACTCTCCATGCTACTTATTGCCTATTAGATATATCTGATGAACAACAAAGTAAAAAAACAAAAAAGTAATTTACATGCTTGAACATATAACTAATTTGATCTTAATAAAATCATGCATGGTTTAATCATGAAACTAATCACATTGTGTGGCTGACAAGCCGCCTAATTAAAGTACTTACTCGGATTAGGAGCTGTATAGGATAAGGATAATGATTTGATGACTAGAATAAAACTGCAAGCAATCAAGACATCTATTGCTAACCCATTAAAAATATTTTGAACTGACCATGTCTCCAACATGCACAAAATAAAAAAAGCCATCTACTAAAGTAATAAGCAACGTTGATGTCTCAACCTAAGCCATTGACGCAGCATTTGATTCAGAAACCCTTGTCATTTCATTATAACAGTGAACAGCTCTTTATTTCGAGTACTATTTCAGCGAAGTACTGTCTCTAGTTGAGGACGGCTATGTCAGAAAGTTAGCGAAGTACTGTCTCTATTTGAGGATGGCTATGTCAGAAAGTTGCTCGTATAACGTAACATATGGAACTATTGAATTTGGTAATCTTATTATAACAGAACCATAGATCTGCCAGTATATCCGACCAAGTGAAGTTAGATCAGCATTTCATTCCTTTGAATAGGTATCAACATTCTACACAATCATCAAGATTTCTTAGATTGTCATAATATAACTATAGAAAAAAAATTAAAGACAGTCAAAAACTTCATACAAATCTTTTTTTTTTCAATCATGTTAGAAAACATAATAAACTCAAACTTGAAAAATTGGTGCCGCATATTTGATGGATTAGGACAACATTGAATTTTTATTTAACAAACATAATAGGTCTTATAATCTTACATTAGATAGAAGTTAACAAACATAATGATACCATTTTCATACTCTATTTAACATATCTCATTCACGATAAAAATAAGTTATATATTGTCATCAAAGATTACTCATGATTATAATACAAAACATTATAATGTCATGTTGATAATATTGATTAAGATTTTTTAAGGATCATAGGCCAACATTTTAAAGCCCAAATGACATTAATAGACCAGAATTTGTATTTCATAAAACAGTTGATAATATTGAAATCAAACAACCAGAAAATATTATAAATGACAAAAAAATTATAGGGCCCAACCGGGTTCGAACCGGTGACCTCTTGATCTGCAGTCAAATGCTCTACCACTGAGCTATGGACCCATTTTGATTTAGTTTTAACTAATTTTTTCTTTCAATAGATGCTACAATTTTAAGAACCCATGAATTTGAAAGAAATATGTTAAACATTTAAGTACATAAACATCAATCGCATAATTTTCCATCACAAAGAGCTAAGTTGCAAGGTTCTTGTTCTCATTTTATACATGTTACGGGAGAAAGTGTAGACGACAAGCATCTCTAGCAAAGTCAATCAGATCAATCTGTAAAATAAGTTGGATAAGTATCCCAACCAACAGTATGTTTTTATAATTTAACTAATGCTTTGAATTCTCAGTGGGCTAATTCTACTTTTACTTCTAGCCATGCAATATGTTTAAGTTGTGGATTATGGGCTGATTTAAGATCAAGAAAGTATAGATTTGGGGGTTTTGACAAAATATGTCATCTTTCATGATCCAATTTAAAATAATCATCCTATTTTCTTATATAAATCAGATGCATTTTTCATGTTTGCAAATGGACAAGATCCTAATTATTAATTAATAGGAAGAACTTGTTAATCTATGACTATTAAAAAGATCTATATTTTTCAGTGTAAATAACTTTAAGATACTTGACATTTTTTGGTTGAAGGACATATTATTTTATTAGGCTGACAGAGTTCCACTGATAAGTTTATTGAAGGATTTCTGGTCTACCCGAAGAGATGATGTCAATTTTACATCTTCATGTAAACTACCAAATAATTACTGTACATACTTCACTAAATCATTTTTGTTTCAAATGATAAAAGTTTAAGTGCAAATAACTTCTTTTTTTTTTTTTTTTGCTGTAGAACTATTAGGACAACACAGTTCTATCATATTTCTGCTAGAGGATTTCTAGTCCAACATAACATCTTATGTCATCTTTACAACTTGATTTGAGCTTCTATATCGATGCTATACAATCTCCCACTAGAAAAATCTTGTCCAAATCTGAGAACTCGGTAACTTAATAGATCAACATTCAAGCTTCCTACATATCCAGCTGAATCTAACCCAAGGGAGGGCACTGCATGCACATTACGCATTATTTTTGAACCCTAATCTCATAAATGGCTAATTCAAAAATAAGAATAATTGTAAAGATATCTTATATTGTCCCTTTTGTCAGATGAAGAATCAAAGTCTCATGATGCTGTAAATGCAGCACTTCCTTATGTTACTTTCAGAAAAAGATCCTTTGATGAGTAACAATCAGATACCTAGATGTATTTCTATAAGATCTTCCTATGATGAGGATCGAAGAAGAGTTCAGCGATACATGTCTCAGCAGATTCAATGGTAGAAGATTCAGGAAAGCAAGACTTAGAATCCCATTACTACAAGATAGATTACATGATACCAAGAATACCATCCAGTTTCAGGCTGAACATGGTCATAACAGAACCAAGAATAATACTATCAATTGTGTTTCCAATAGATAAAATCACAGGGCTACCAATTCAAGTCCTTTTTGTCCCTAGCAAAAACCTGCAACAAAAATCTGTCTTATGTCTCGATAAATCCATCTCAAACTCTACATCCTTACTCATAATAATAAATTATAATATTCTACAAGAGATGAGAACTGGTGTTTGGATAATCTTGAAGCACCTTGAACGTCCTGGGAACAATGGGAATTTTCATGCCCAATTTCAGGTTAAATTTCCATTCTCCACTCGATGCCCCAAAACAAAACAATCTATCAATTGACTAACGATTAGTACTGGTCTGGTTAAGATCCAAGTCTTGAATCTTGCATCCAGTGCACACTTCTTTGAATCCAGTCCGTCCTAAGCACAACCACCAAAAACCACCAAAAACTAGTAATTACTCTGATGTAACGCTACCAATTCGTAGAAAGGAGAAAAACTGCAACGGTCCAGCAGAAGAACAGACCTGAGAAGCCCATTCGACGACGGAGGAGATCAATATATGAGGTTCCCACGCCAGCAAATCCGTCGAGAACTCGCTCCTGCCGATCCCGCCGCAGCAGGCGAGAGGAGGGGATCGGCCGGATGAGGAGGACAACGAGGGGGGTATAGGAGGGGGATGTGGCGGCTGAGATCGGGACGCCAGAGCGAGGAGGAGGGAAAGGGAAAGGGAAAGGCGGGGCCGGGAGAAACCCGTCGCGGTAGTCTGGTAGAAATCGATGGCGAGCCCTCGCGGTTTGTTGCTTTTGGCGGGCGGTTTTGTGTCTGTTAGTACCGGTTCAACTCGGAGTGAGTTGTTGTGGCAGTCCGAGTCCACTCGTCGCGACATTGTGGAGTCGCACCGCAACTGGACAGTGTGTTTTATAAGCCACATTGACATCATCGAGCTTTTATCGCACATTGAATTTTTTAGTTCTGCATTCTGTGGCTCCATCATCGTCTTCGTCGATGGATGACCACCAGCTTTTGGGGCCATGAACGGTGGCAACCCGCCTCCCATTGCATTCCCCGTCAGAACGCAGAACACAGAGAGAGAGAGAGAGAGAGAGAGAGGCATGGCGATGATACCTTGGACT